GATCCAAATTGGAAGGGAAAGAGGTAAAATTGTCACTATTTGCACATGACATGATACTATATATAGAAAACCCTAAAGATCACCCAAAAACTACTAGAACTGATAAATGAATTTGATAAGGTAGCAGAATACAAGATTAACATATAGAAATCCACTGCATTTCTTTACGCTAACAATGTAATATCAGAAAAGGAAAGTTTAACAAATTCCTTTTAAAATTGCATCAAAAAACACTTAGGAATAAACCAGACCAAGGAGGTGAAAGACTTATATACTGAGAACTACAAAACATTGATTAAAGATGATTTAAAGAAATGGAAAGATATCCCACGCTCTTGGATTGGAAGAATTAATATTGTTAAAATGGCTATACAACCCAAAACAATTTACAGAGTTAATGCAATCCTTATCAAATTATCCAGGACATTTTTCAGAGAACCAAAACAAACAATCCTAAAATTTATATGAAATCACAAAGACCCAGTACTGCCAAAGCAATACTTAGGAAAAAGAACAAAGCTGGAGGCATAACCCTCCCAGACTTCAGACAATACTACAAAGCTACAAAATCAAAACAGTGTATGGTATTGGCACAAAAACAGACATATGGATCAATGGAACAGAATGGAGAGCCCAGAAATAAACCCAGAGACCTATAGTCAATTAATCTTTGACAAAGGAGGCAAGAATATACAATGGAGAGAAGAGAGTCTCTTCAACAAGTGGTGTTGTGAAAGCCAGACAGCCACATGTCAATGATGTTAGAACCTCCCTCACACCACACACAAAAATAAACTCATAATGGCTTAAAGATTTAAACAGAAGACAAGACACCATAAATCTCCTAGAAGAGAGCATAGGCAAAACATTCTCTGACTAAAATCATAGCGATAGTTCTTTAGTTCAGTCTCCCAAGGCAAAAGAAATAAAAGCAAAAGTAAACAAATGGGACCTAATCAAACTTACATACTTTTGCACAGCAAAGGAAATCATAAACAAAACAAAAAGACAACCTACAGACTGGGAGAAAATATTTATAAACGATGCACCTGACAACACTTAATTTCCAGAATATACAAATGGTTTATACAGCTCAATAACAAAAAAAGAAACAACTCAATTAAAAAATGGACAGATGACCTAAATAGACATTTCTCCAAATATCACATGCAGATGGCCAATAGGCACAAGAAAAGATGCTGAATATCACTAATTATCAGAGAAATGCAAATCGAACTACAATGCAGTATCACCTCACATGGGTCAGAATGGCCACCATTAAAAAGTCCACAAACGATAAATGCTGGAGAGGGTGTGGAGAAAAGGGATCCTTCCTGCACTGTTGATGGGAATGTAATTTGGTGCAGTCATTATGGAAAACAATATGGTGATTCCTTTAAAAACTAAAAGTAGACTTATCACATGATCCAGCAATCCCACTCCTGGATATATATCTGGGGAAAACTCTAATTCAAATGTTCATAGAAGCATTATTTACAATAGTCAAGACATGGAAGCAACCTAAATGTTCATCATCAGATGGATGGATAAAGAAGTTGTGGTATATACATACAATGAAGTATTACTCAGTCATACAAGAGAATGAAATAATGCCATTTCAGCAACATGGATGGACTTAGAGATGATCATACTAAGTGAAGTAAATCAGCCAGAGAAAGACAAATATGGTATGATATCACTTACATGTGGAAGCTTTAAAAATGACACAGAGAAACTCATTTACAAAACAGAAAGAGACTCACAGGCAGAGAAAACAAACTTATGGTTACCAAAGGTGAGGGGAGCGATAAATTAGCAGTTTTGAATAGCAGATACAAACTACTATATATAAAACAAAACAACAAGTTCCCACTGTATAGCACAGGGAACTACATTCAATATCTTATAATAACCTACAATAACAAAGAATATATATACATTTGTATGTATAACTGAATCACTATGCTGTACACTAGAAACTAACACAGCACTGTAAATCAACTATACTTCAATTTAAAAAACACATATACATACCAAAGAGTACAGCATGAGTTACAAGGATACACAAATATCTGATGACAACTGCAAATCCACCAGAGTGGTGGCCTGTGTGGGGAGGAAGGAGTGAATGTGGGGATCATGGCTGAAGGGAAGAAGGAAATAAAATTAAAATATAACATAACGAGATAAATGAGGGGCTGTGCACAGACCCATGTCAGTAGAGTGCCACGAACTGGAGGGTGCGTGACTAACTCAGCTCGTGACACCTCAGGGGAAGCAAGCCCATAGAATGGGGCGGTGCAGACTGTTAATCCGGCCTGGGAGGAATCTATTGCTTCATAGTCGAAAGGTGTCAGGAATTCCTCAACTTGCTCATCACTTACAAAATAAAACCCAGACTCCTTAGCAACACATTCAGAACTTTTCATCATCTGACCCCTGCTCCCTTCAGCCTCATTCAACTTCTATCCCTCTGCCCTCTAAGGGGCACTAGACTATTTCTTTCTTTCTTTCTTCTGGACCTTTGCACCAGCTACTCCTACTGCTTGGAATGCTTTCCCCCGACTTGTCCAACAGGCAAACTACCACTCGTTCAGCACGACCTCCTCTGTGAACACCTTCCCTGACCTTTCTCCTCCTTCACCTGCTCTTCCCCCACACATACACCTATCAGGACACTTATTACACAGCCCTGTAGTTGCTCACATCTCTCTCTCCCGCATCAGATCATGAGCTCCTTGAGGACATGATTCTGTCTTATTTTGGCATCCTTAGAACATGCCTAAAAACCACAGACTTTCTATAACTATTAATTGAATGCATACATGCTCCGTCATGGGAATTTGCAGAGATTTTTAATGAGTATCTATCTTTATGCCCAGAGGACCTCTTAAAGATGTTTTGCAAACACATCAATGTATAGTGTTATGGAGACTGGAGTTTCAAGAGAGGGAAGATTGTGAAGCTAAAGAGGTAGGTAAGTTCCATCTTGTCAGTGACCTTGCTGTCTCCCCTTTCTTTTTGTGGAATTCCATCTCTGTTCCTCTGTAATTAGCAGCAGGCATCCAAGTAGGAGCTACTCTTTCTTAGCACCTCTGACCTCTTGATTTTCCCTTAGTGGGTGCTGCTGTGGTTGCCATCCCCTTTGTGCCCTCCCACCCTGCCATCTTCCCTCAGTCATGCAACTTCATCCTCATCAGACTTAAACCTGATATTCTGATATGCATGTCCTGGGCTAGCTCATTGCTAGATTAAGCAGGTGTGACCTGAGGGGCTCTGATCTTCCAGTGAAGCTTCCTGCCCACAATGATCTCCCCAACTGTTCTGTTCCCATGATGGATTTTCTCTCCACTATAGTCAGAGAAGTCCCAGACGACCCACACCCTCATTTTAAACGTTAAAGACAGTGCCTCGCAGATGCCAACATACTTATGCCCATCATCAGACCATCGCGTTAGCAATTCCATCACCTGGGCTAGGGATGCAGAGGAAGTACTAATGAAGATTAAGGAAATGGCAGGAAGGAAGGGTAAGTTAGGGAAAGGGCCCCTGGATCAGGCATGGGTAGCCCAGAAAGCAGTAGAGGAAAAGCCAAATGTCAAAGGAAAGAGAATGGGCATGGGATGGACCAAGGAGATATTATCCATTTCTCAAATTTATTTCCTGTTTTCCACAGTTCTTCCATTCTTATTATGGAATTCTTACCTGGGCAGCCTTTGCAGGCATAATTTTTTTTCTTCTCTTTGGTCTACTCCCTCATTTTCGTAGACCAAGGGTCAACCCAATGACAGCCTTTTTACCTCTGCGCCTGAGTTTCCGTCATGAAACTCACTCTTTTCCCCACCTCCACTATCCTCAGTAAACGCTCACTGTAAAGTTAAACTGATTGGGCTAAAGGTCAGTCACATTACATTTAAATAAGCACAGGGAATATCAAAAACGCCAGGAAACGCAGTGCAGATGTCTGCAGCTACACTTTGATAAGCCCAGCAGCTGTGGCCATTTGAGCTCTCTCATGGGAATGGAAAAACTAAAATCCATAAAACAATCTTCAAGCAATAACGCTGAGTCTGCTTCTCCACAGAGAATAGGAATCAGTAGAGTAAGACAGCATCAGAGAGCTTGGTACCATGTCTAATTATTTTCTTGTGTGAATTTGTTGTGGGAAATGTAACAACTGGTACTGGCCTTTAAACAGTTCTTGCACCTTTTTATCATTTGACCTCGTTTAACAATTCATTACCCAGTGTTATGAATAAAGCCAAAAAATGGGGGTCAGGGTAGGGAGACAAGGTTTTCTTGTCTGTTTGTTGCAAAATGGACAAATGGAACTAACCCTTACAACTACTGAATTGCTTATATACATCTGAAAGCCACTCCTTTCTTGACCTGACCTACAGGGTCTAAATGTCAGTTTGGCCAATTAAAATGATGTGTTATGCTGGTATGTTTATTCTTTGCCTAGTGAAAAATTATGATTTTAAAAATGAAAAGGCAAAAAAAAATTAAGACAATTATATGTAATTCTTATCACAGATTGTACTTGAAATCCAGTACCAACCAAACTATCTCTGCTTTCCTCCTCTGGAGGTCCCCGGGAAGGAGTGAAGAAGGAGTCAAAGGTAGCAGAGATTTATGTAGGCATTTCCCCCGACTCAATCCAAGTTGAATTCAAATGAATGAAAACCCTTTACAAGAACACAGAGTTTACAAAACAGAGTTGTGACTGTCCATTAATATGACTTCATTAAAGTCATTTAAACTGCTGATAATAGCTTTAGCTGTCAAAGTCCATTTACTGAGCATGTGTTATGCATCAGGCCCTATTCTAGGCAGTTGTATTTATATCCCATATTATAAAGCAAAGTCTAGAAATAAGAAACATGAGACTCAGAAACACTAGTCCATGATTTCATAGCAATAGAAGGGCAAAAGCAGAGGTGGGAACACGGTTCTGTAAGACCCTAAGACCTGCACAGATCCTCTCCTCCATTCCATACCTCTCTTCCAGAAAGTGCCGCTGAGTCACCAGCACAGGTTTCTGATATCCTCGGCTGGACACTTTGTCTTTTGAGAGTATATTGGAGAGTCAACAGCCCAGGGTCGTTTGGGGCCCCATCTGCTGCGTAGAGCGAGTGATCAGTCCTGGTCTAAATGAAAGATAAAACAACTGTTTAGGAATGAAGCTGCTTTTCTGGTGAATCTCACACAGCTGCCTCATTTTGCTTCCCTTTCACTTGTAATGGAGGGAGTATTTAGGAAAGACATGAATGTGCTTTTCTTAATTGCTTTCCCGAATACAGGACTTCCCCCAAGACCTGCACCTCCACCAGAGGCATTTGTGTGTTTACTGCTAACGGTGGCTCCAAAAGGCATGTAAAGAGTGAAAGAGTTAAGACTCAACTTTTAATATTTAAAATAGAATTTCGCAGAAAGGTGTTAGTGCCAAAACATTATGTTCTCAAGGCAAGATTTTCAAAATTCCTTTATTTCCCCTTGAACACATTAAGAACTAAGTATCGAAGCACCAACTCAAAGAATTTTGTCATATCACAGAGAAGATACTCCTTCCACAAAGGCAGCGAGACCAGGAAGCGTACTGTTCTGTGGTAAGAGCGACAACATAGGTCAGGAATAAGAACCCTGACCCTTCTGACCCTAATTGGATAGTGAGAAGAAGGGAACCAGAGACAGTGGACTCAGAGTTCTTATTTTTTCTCTCTTCTTGGGGCAAAACTTTAAGATAGGATATCTTTGGAAACACCAGTTAAACTGAGGGGCATTCACAGTGCAGGGAGGGGTACAGCAGGAAGAGACTAGAGCCTCTGTTCCCTTGTGCCCTGGTTCTGAGTTGGGGGCCTTGAGGGTTTACCCCGGAATCGGTGAGATGACCTCACAGTAGAGACTTGGTGTGGGCCCCTCAGGCCAGGGTTCCAGGTGGAGCCAGTCGGGCTCCCCAAGCGATAAGGATGCAGGAGGCAGGGTCTATGTGAGTGAGAGTTCAGGGAAGCCAAGTCAGCCCAGAGCCTCTAGACCAGGGGTCAGCAAACTATGGTCCATGGGTCAAATCCAACCCAGTGGCCTATTTTGTAAGTACAGTAAATGCCCAGTCATTTATATATTGCCTATGGCTGCTTTTGAGCTGCAGGGTTGGGTACTTATAACAGAGACTGTAGAATCTACAAAGCCTAACGCATTTACTATGTGGCCCTTTATGGGAAAAGCTTGCCGACCTCTGCCCTAGACCTTATGAAAGGCTGCAGGACAGGCTGCAATGAGGCAAACAAGGGGTGGTGCCTTGGAGGTCAGAGGAGCCAGAGGACACCAAGCAAATCCAAGGAGCTGGACTCCTTTCCTTAGGCATGAGGTCACATAACATGAGCCAGTCCCCTCCCCTCCATACACCCAGAAACTATCCCAGAGAGAAGGTAGAAAAGGGACTAACGACTAAATGAAGAAATTCAAGAGGCTGAGCATTTTTTTCTAGAGAGAGTGAGTATTATCTAACGGGGAGTTCTAGTATTTCATTAGATTGGCCTGAACGTAGTTTCTCTAAGTATATTTGTTTACACGATACATGGGTTGAGATATGAGGAAGTCCAGATAAGTCATAAAGAAATTAACGTTTTCTCAAACATCACATAATATGTTTTACAACCCACCTACCGATTTATGGATTATAAGAGCCGATAGAAGCCTTAGAGATACTTTACACCTCTCCTCTCATTGGACAGATAAGGAAACAGTGTTCCAGAAGGGTTATGTTCCTGTCGTTAAGTAGAGAATGAACTGAGACTGACATCCATGTCCCCTGATGCACTGGTCCAAATACCGAGTTTTAGTGAACGAATTCTTAGTGCTGTATCCCCAAGGTCTTGGTAGGAAAGAGAGCAAATATCACAGAAATGAAGAGAGTTTGATATGGGAATTGCTTACAAAGGTGTGGCTAGGATTTAGGTACACTGACAGAGAGGGTGCAGTATGCCAAAGCTTGCAACAGTGGGGAGCTCACACCAGCCAGGGGCTGGGGAACCAGAGGCGGCTGTTCTGAGAGAGAGAAGCTTAGAAGAGGGACACTAACAAGAGTGGAGGGGTACCACTGACTCAAAGTAGCCCATTAGGGAAAAACCCAGGGAAATAAGTTTCCTGACTTCACTCTCTTTCTACACTTTCATCTTCCTGCTGATTTGTTCCGTTAACTGAATCCAGAGTACATGGAAAACTTCAGCCTCCCAAGATACAGAGAAGAGTGGAGTTCGTATCTAGAGAAGAAAATAGAAAAAAATGTGAGCACCATCCTATAAAACAGGGCCTAGAAGCATTGCTGGCATGTGGTAGGTGCTCAACTATTTTTCAAATGAATGAATTGGTTAATTAATTAATCTTTCTATTGATCAAGCCATCCTTATGAACTTCCATGTGATTCTTGCCAAGTATACCATCCAGTCAACAGACCATCCATTCTAGTAGAAAAGTTATAAAGAGAGACATCTCTTCCCCACAACAGAATATGGCGCTCCCATAGCTACAAGGGTATCAAGAGGTGGGCTTTGAGTTTATACTTGGATTTGTTTTCTATTGCTGCATAATAAATTACCACAAACTTACTTGACAGCTTAAAACAACACAAATTTATTCTCTCTGCGAGTTAGGAGTCCAGGCATGGGTTTCTATGGGTTAGGTGTCTGGGTGTGGGTAAATTGGATCCTTTGCTCAAGATCGCACCAGGCTGAAATCAAGGTCTTGGCATCCTACCTGTTTGTTTTTAAGAGACACTCTCCACTCTCCCCTCTACGATCCCCTTTCCCAGCCTGCATTCTAGTTCCTGAACACACCAGGAGAATAAAGATACATGGCCTTTCACATTTGGAAAGGGCTCAGGGTCTGGGCTATCACCAGACTTGGTCTGTAACCCTCCTCTGACACAGGTGTCTGTGATTCTGTGCGAAATGGGACACAGTTTCTCTGGTATCTCAGTCACGTCATTTACTCAAGTGCAGGAGGGCCCCACAGTGCCAGAGTCTAGAAGTTACAAGCAAAAGTGAAGAAGTGGCTGTCACAAGATGATGAATGGCTGCCCTCTGAAGTTTTGATTTGGATTCTAAGTGACAAAACCGGACCAACCAAGGAAACTTGGTAATTTTCTCTGCTGCAGAGCAGCCACCTGGCGAACAGCGCATTGCAACCACCAACCCTTGGCAGAGGTTGGAACAGCAGCTATAATTATAAAGAGTAGGGAAGAGACTCTAAAAATCTCTTCTGAGTGGCAAAAATTCTGAAAATCAAGATAATTACAACACTAGCTCATCCTGATTTGCTTGGCTATTTATAGATGAGGAGAAGCTGATGCGCTGAGAGCTTTTTCTTTTCTTTTCTTTTCTTCTTTCCTATTTGCATTAAATCCTGGGTGGCTCCTCTCTGAAATGTGTGCATATGCTGAGTCCATGTGAGATGCCACCACTGGCACTTGTCACAAGAATTAAATCCCTCTCAAGCTTGTTTACAGCTCAGCACTTGTCATACTGCTCCCTTGAGCTTCATGGCTGGTTGGGTTCTTTTTTTCCCCAGTTCTGCGGAAGATTTAATTTCTTTTTTGTTTATGTGTGTACTTACCCTTGCAGGTGCAGGAAGGAAAAAATTGCTGTGCCCAGATGTTTTGAAGCTGCAATAGCATACATACAACTCAGATTAAACAGAAAAATTGCATAAGATAAGGCAGGCGCTTCGAGCACATTATTCTATAGGGTATTTAATAAACCTATCATGTCTTCTTGACAATAAGACTCTTGAATATAACTTTAGGAACAGAGAAATATTTTAAGGCATCACCAGCTCAATTCACTTATAGATGATTTTACAATGAGATTTGTCCTTCTTGAGTGGGGTCCATTACATTCACCCCATTTTCAGCTTAGAAAATACCTTCCCGGAACAGAAGAGTCTGGGAATTGGGTGGAAACATCGCCTATCAAGCTGTCTCAGTTCATTACTGGATTAGTTAGACCTCAGGGATCATGAAGCCAGATTTCACCTTAATTTTTGGAACACGGCAAACATAAGCTAAACGCAAACAACCCTCTTGCTGCTCGTTGAGCTCTGTACTAATACGCAAGAGCTCTGCCCAAGTTGCAGATGGATAATGCTTCTGTGGCCCTCAGTTTGGATTTTCCTTTACCCAAGGCGGTGGGCTAACCTGCTCTGTACACAGCAACTGTCAAACGGGGGAAGGAGTTCAGCTCCGGAGAAGAGAAAATGCTCAAAATTCTCCAGGCGCCACTTCACCAGCCTCCAACAATTGTTTCCCATGGCTGCACGGAGGAAGCTCATCACCTTTGGCAATTTAAATATTTGGCATTTTACATATTCCCTCACAGCCAAAGCCAAGATCGTGAAGGCCCACACAATGGGCCCACCCCTGCTCTGTGACAGTGCCCCGGAGCGTGTTACTATTTTTACCTTTCCTGGGACGTGTATAAGAGCTCCCAGCTGACCTGCCTGGATGTGGGTTTGAAAGAAAACTTCCATCTCCCTCTGCTCATGAAGCTAAAGACCCTTAGCAGAACTAGGAAAAGAGTGCCGGAGGCCTCTGTTTCTTTGTAGGGAGGAAAGAGGTGGTGCAAAAAAGAGAACAAGAGAAGCTCTCGCACTTTAATCTAACTGCCAGCCCTGGATCCCCACTTGGCCAAGCCTTTCATAGTCAGTTCTTGGCTCCCTGTTCTGCATCTGCAAGATCAGAGCTTATTAGCATCATCTCTTACTTCTGCCTCCCGACGCTGCCACCAGACACTGTCAGAGCCTTAGATTCTTATTCCCTGCGAGGCAAATGGCTCTTCCTTAACCACCCAAGTGTGGGTCTTTCCTTGCACTGATATACTTCTATTCCCCTTGCCATACCGGCAATGCTAAACACGCTCATCATCCCAGTATCTTCTAGAGCTCCCACTTAGAACATGGGGACGGTGTTAGAAGTCTGTATCTGCGCTAATGGGCTGTGTGTGAAAGAGCAGTAGGATCTTGGCAGCATTTGGTTTCACAGACTATGACGGTGATGTTTCTGCTCATAGGTTATTGATCAGTTCTGGCAACAAAATCATCTTACAATTTATAGTTTTGTCTACTTATGTTTTGTCTATTTAATTTGCCCAAAGCGTCACATTAAACACTAAGTATTCTTTTTTTTTGTTTCAAACACTAAGTATTCTTAAAGCAGGAAACCTACAGATTCATCAAAAGATGGTGGAACTTTATGAATGAACTCTGTCGTGGTGGTGGTGGTGGTGGTTTTGCTAGTGTAAATAATTTATTACATCTTTATCAGGTAATAG